ACACTCGGTATGGACCACATGGAGACCTATAAGAGAGCTATCTTGATAACTATATGAGAAGAAACCAATGCCATGGAGAGGTTAAATTACTTACCCAGGATCATACAGCTAAAAGAAAGCACAACAGACTGATGTCCTCTGCCTCACTAGCCAGTATCAAGGAACACTATCCCACCCACCATCATTAAGGATGTCTGTTGACATCCACCTGCTGTTTACTGAGCACTAATTATATGCCCGGCACCAAAGAGGAAGGACTTGAAAGGCCTGAGCTTGAACTGAAGGGCTTTTGTTTTAAAGCAAATCTAGGAGCTTTGGAAAACAAAAAGGCCATTAACACAATGTGATACCTTCCTGGTCAGGCTAGGGTGTAGTCTCCAGTGGCAGCACACTTAAGTAACAACAAATGGGACTCTTAGAAGCACCAAACTCTCAAACTCTTTTCTTCTAAGTAATTACAACATACCTCTTTGAATTTAGAGCATGTGAAACATTGTATTAATTGTCTTCAGTGGTATCTGGTCATCAATGTCATATTGTGGCACAGTGTTTCGGGAGAGTACACTTAACATTCTTTTTTTAAAAATTTATTTATTTTTATTTTGTGTGCATTGGTGGTTTTTTTGCCTGCGTGCATGTCTGTGTGAAGGTGTCAGATCCCCTGGAACTGGAGTTACAGACAGTTGTGAGCTGCCATGTGGGTGCTGGGAATTGAACCCAGGTCCTCTGGAAGAGCAGCCAGTGCTTCTAACCGCTGAGCCATCTCCCCGGCCCTTAATATTCTTAAACATGTGCTCGTTACATCTTATTCCAGAACTTACTGCACATAGTCACTGCCTCGGGAGCTGCACACCTCTCCTAATCTAATGTGGCACAGAGCGGTTAATCAGTAACGAAACTCGAATTCTGAGTTTAAGTTGCCAGGGAAGAGCCGTTCCTTCTCCAGGGTAGAGTGCACCGGCTCATGTCAGTTTATCTACTTTTCTAATACCTGCTTAGAAACAAAGGAGGGTAGATAACCGAACAAAAAATTTAGCCAATCTCAAAACAGCCCAGGGCCAAGCTGGGGAGAGATAAAGACATGGATGGTCAACCTCAAATGGGGAGCCGGATGATCACACACAGTTCTCCTGTATTCCAGGTTGGTGCTGAGGGTTCCCTGGGAATTATTTTGGTTAATCCTCACAATAACCCTGATGGAATGAGTCACTCTAATCTCCATTTGATAAGTAAGAAAAATTAGGCCCAACTTCACACACACACATAAAATGGAGAACTAGAATTGGAACGCAGTCCAGAAGCCAGTCTGCTTTTAATCACACGCCTAGGATACGCTATGGAAACACCCCTGGGGCCAAGCAAGTGAAGAGGAGGATGTTTGAAGTGGCTTAGCTTTAAGATTAGAGAGCCAGGGCTCTTAACGATGACTGCCTCTGCAATCACCTAGGGAGCCTTAAAGACTGTTGGTTGAAGCCTGGGTTCCACCCCGCAGATGTGATCTAATTGATGTGGGAGCTGCAAGGTGCTCCAAACGGGCAGTGTAGCCAGAGACAGGCTGCTTGCAGAACAGGGTGGCAGGCGGCTCATTTGAAAGCAGCAAGAGGAAACTTAGAAATATTAACTAAACTGTGCACGGAACAAAGGTTGCTACTACCTCTGCTACTAGTATGTGATCTCTGCCCCATCCTTTGGTATAATTAAGGTACTAATATGAGAACTAGATACATAGATGATTGATAGACACGTAGACTGTAGATAGATGATAGATGAATTACAGGTGATAGATGATAGATAGATACATAGATAGATAGATGATAGATACATAGATACATAGATAGATAGACAGATAGATAGATAGACAGATAGATAGATAGATAGATAGATAGATAGATAGATAGATAGATAGATGATACATACATACATACATGCAGAAGATAGTGTCATGGATTTTTGTGGAGATGGTCATCTGGTCTCTGAGCCTTTCCATGTCATTCTCCAGTTCCAATTATAGGACTATTATACAAAAGAGTAATCTGTCCAAAGGACCCTGGAGTACACCCTGTTCTTCAAATGAAGATAACCCAACTGTGCTCACTTAACAAATGCGTACCATTTGATAGAGAAACACTTGCTCAAGAGTCATGTTTTAAAAGAAGACCACTCAAAATTAACTCTGACCTTTATCCAAGCCAAATAAAGCGATCTCCCTGAACTAAAGAGGTCTTAAGGAACAAAGGTGGGAGGGAGGGAGGGAGGGAGGGAGGGAGGGAGGGAGGGAGGGTGTCAGGAGATGGCCCAGTCAGTAAAGTCCCTGTTGTGCAGGCCAGAGACCTACCTTTTGTTCTGTAAAGCACTGACTGTGGAGGAGAGACAAGCAGATCTCTCAAGCCAATCAGCCTAGCTGAGTCAGTAAGCATCAGGTTCAGAGAAAGACCCCATCTCAGAAAGTAAGGGTGGAGAGTAAATGAGAAAAGGCACCTGGTATCAATCTGTGGCCTCCACACTCATGCACACCCACACATAGACATATACACCCAAACCAAAAAAGGATAGAGTAAGGTGCTCTAAAGACTTGGGTATGAAGGTAGGACATAGCACCACTAGATAAAATGTCATTTGTCCTGGAGAAGGGGAAACAAAAGCCATATGCCACCAGAAAAATGCTCACTACTAAACAGCCTGCAGAGGTGACAATGGATGTTGCTAAAGGCAAGTCTAAAGCCTCTTTTGAAAGAAGCAGAAGCTCCAGCCAGCTTGTGAACTAATTCCTTCCTACACAATCATTGCAACTGTTGTGCTGCCCGCCAAAAGGAAATGACAAAAAAGCATCTATTAAGAAAGATTTCAGCCGGGCGGTGGTGGCACATGCCTATAATCCCAGCATTGGGAGGCAGAGCCAGGCGGATCTCTGAGAGTTCAAGGCCAGCCTGGTCTACAGAGGGAGATCCAGGAGAGGCGCCAAAACTACACAGAGAAACCCGGTCTCAAAAAAAAAAAAAAAACCAAAATCAATAAAATAATAAATAAATAGACAAATAAATAAATATTTCAGGGGCTGGGTGCACAGCTCAGCCAGTCATTCATCTGCTTGCTGTGCGAGCTGATGACCTCAGTTTGGATCCCTCTGACCCATGTGAAAACCCAGGTATGGTGGTGTATGCCTACAATCTGGGTGCTGGGGGCTCAAGACAGAGGATCCATGGCGCTCAATGGCCAGACAGTCTGGCTGTCTCAAGAAATAAGGTGGAGAGTGAAAAACAAATACACTGGACATCAATCTCCGGCCTCCACACAGGAGCATACATATAGGCTAGTGCACACAAACACACACACACACATACATACACACACACACACACACACACACACACACACACACACACACACACACATCCTAGGTGCTAGCTGGCTAGTCAATCTAGCCGAAATAGGTATTCAACTTCCAGTGAGGGACCCTGTATCAGAAAAATAAAGTAGAGACTCGAGCGAGGACGACTTCCTAGTACCAACCTCTGACCCTCACGTGTGCAAACGGCACATCCACACAAGCACACCCACACTGAAGCTCATGGGGAATCCACTGATACTTTCTAAGTAAATAAACCAAGTATCCACCCTTCTCATACCAACAACTCACGGGAAAATTCCCATACCTATACTTTTTTTTTTTTTTTTTAAATCTAAGAGACTGTCAAAACAGGCTTTCCTTTTGAAAAAAAGCCCAGCCACATATTTTCATTGCCTGGGGCAGTGCAGTTTGAAGAAGCTAAAAATACTTTCTTTTCTTCTAAGTTTGGAAGAACAAATCAGACCAACCAAATAGCTGCATATCATTTTCTCCTATCTGAAAAGTCTTACTAGAAAACGCTCTGGATAGCTGGATCAAGGCAAAAGCATCTGTTTTATATGTGTATACACGTCCCCTGTCAGGAACACCCCTTCAGCTTATATGCGCCCAGGAAGATTCAGTAAGCCGTATCTGCATTATCAACAAGGACAGTTGTGGTATGACTGTTTAGATAGGGCCTTTTATTTCTTGCTTCCTTTGTGTTGGAGAGAGAGTTGCATGAGTGTTGAAAACAAACGAGTAGAACAGGTAGAAGCATTTATAAAAAACATATACAATGAGCTTATAAAAAACATATACAATGTTTTTTATGTGTGTCCTTAAGGGAACCACCAAGGGTTTACATGCACTCACTCACGAACCATTTGGGCCTTAGAAACTCATAGTCCATGTGATTTTTAAAAGAGAAGGATACAAGCTTCGAACGTCTTGCACAAGTTGTGTCTTCTGTGGTTGGCAACGTGAAATCTTATGTTTCTTCTTTTTGACTTCCCAAAGCTAACTGTGAAACACGCATGTGCATTCATGCATATACACACACAGAGCTCTGTGATCAGCTAAAGGCATCCACAGGAAGACAAGCCTTTTAAAAAACAATCATCTGGAGGATAGTTAGTCAAGTAGTGTGGACTTTTCCATCACACCCGGTATTTCTCAAGTTACCTATTAAATCAGCATAATAATAACAATACAAGCTAGCCAGTTCCATTCACCAGCCACGAATGTATAGCCTAATTTTTTTTTTTCTTGAAAACGAGAACCAGTTAAGTGTCTGCATAACTCTCCATATCTACAAACCAGGGCATGCCTCTTGGGAAAGGGTTGGCAGATGTGGCAGGAGGGCTGTTTGTCTAGATTGCAGCTGGACCTTTGACAAGTGCTTCCGGCAAAATATCCTGTATTGTATGTAACCCCCCGCCTCAAACCAAGCGGGATCATGGGCTGGTGCTGTAGATTTCAAAGATAACTCCTGCCAGGAAGAAGGAAAACCGGGATGTTACCTCTCCACACACACTGAGAGCCAACAGCCCCGTGCTGCTGTCCCAGAAGGTCAACGGATGACACCTGCAAGGCCAACTGCACATCAAACTACTTTGCCAGCCCCAGCACTAGCGCGGAGCGAAGTTGGCCGCGCGCGTCCCCTTCCCTGTACCTTGCAATTGAGCAGAGAGTGAGTCTTGGTGCTGCTGGTACTTGAGCGCCACCGCCTCGGCTTTGCGCAGCTGGGTCTGCAGTTCCAAGTAGAGCATCGCGCCATAGAGGAAGCCGAAGACCACCGTGAGTAGCAGCAGCGTCTGGAAGATCCGCTTCTGCTTTCGGGAGCACATCCCGTTTCCCATAGTCCCTCCTGCGCCCCGCGCTGCGGCGGCGGGCGCCGCCGTCGTGTCCTCGGGTCCTCGGCGGAGGCGGGCGGCTCAGCAGCGGCCACCGCGGGAAGTAGCCGGACGCGGCATGAGCAGAAAGACGCGAGACACAAAAGCGGGGCCCGAGGGGAAGAGGCGGCCGCTCAGCCCCCGCGCGCGGCGGGCCGCCAGGCCATCGACGCCACCCGGGCAGCGGCCACCAAACTTCTGCGACGTCGGAGCTCCGCGAGTGGCTGGGGCCCCGTGGGGTCCCTTTGCATACTTCAGAGCCCGCTGCCCTTGCTGCCGGTCTCCACGCGCGCCGCCTGCCCGGCTTTCCTTCCTCCTCACTTTTTGGCCTCGCTGTCCCCACCGTCTGTCCCCGCCCCTCGCGCCGGCTCCGGCTGCTGGACTTTGTGGCTACCGCTGGTAGGGGACGCACGCCCAACAAAGGGACCTGGCTCCCCGCGGCGTCCCAGCGCGCGGTCCACCTCGGATGGTGGAGAGATGGGGGACAGGTTGTTCTGATCGGGTAAGGGCGGGGGGGAGGCGGAGGGCCGGTGTCACTGATCTGGCGGCTCCAGTGGTCCGCCACCTCCCACCCAACTTACGTGTCACCCACGGCCCCGCTATCATGGCCAACGGGATTCCGGGAGGAAGTCTCACTCGGGCTCCCAGCTCATTGGGTCCGCGCAAGCCGCCGCTCCCTCCTTTCGGGGAGTCAGTGCTGGGCTCCATTGGACGCCAGCTTTGTCTGTCCCGCCCCGGGCCGCGCCCTCCTTCTCAGCTCAGGGCAGGCCCTGGGCTCCGTGGGCCGCGCGGCCGCCTGGCGCCTGGGTTCGCCCACGTGGAGCCCGGGTGGGTGGGAATAGGCGGAGGAGCCGGGCTGGGAGTGCTTGGGACTTGTCCTGGCCTGAGGCTTGGTGATGATCATTGCGCACGTGTACGCATGTGTGTGCATGTGTGTGCCGGCACTTGGAATGCACGTGGAGAAAGAGTACAGTGCTTACACACGCCGAGGACCGCAAAGCAGCAGGGCGTGCACTCTGCTAAGTCCTGCTCACTTCTTATCCTACAGAGTGAGCTCAGGTTGCAGACAGTGCGTTCTTTGCACAGTAGGCACAATCTCTCAAGGGCTGCCTACTGAGTCTTCTCCCATCAGGGACACTAGCCTGTGTTCATAGATGGTAGGAAGCAAGCTGGAACCCCGAAGCTCACTTGACTGTCCACGTGGGGTGGGGAAATCACTTTGTTGGCAGAGGGAAAGAAATGATCTCATATGTTTCCTCTGGCTTCAAATGGAATAATTTAAAAACAAATCTTAAGGCTGAAATGAGTATGCATTCATTTTGCTATGTGTATTTCTCGTAATGGTGACAGAAATGCATCAGTTACAATTTAAAATTACATTTTCAGGGCCAACAAAAAAATCCTAACTAGAAAAGCTAGACAAGCATAATAACTCCAAACCACTTCAAAGAAATCCATGGTGCGTTTGCTTTTTCCATCTAATGAGAAGGCGTGTGGAATTGAGGTTACGCATAAATGATAATTTTGTTTCCCCTCTTGACCTGGAGTCTAAGGGAAATACATTATTTCTGGAAAGAATCAGTAGTGCAGTGGCACTTATTACATTCTGCATAATTTTTGTGATATCCTGACTGGGTTTTAGTCATAGCCATCAATTATGAGAGAGAGAATGCTTAAGATGAAGGAAGATCTGCTTACGCCAGGTTCATAAAGATAGTCCCTGTCCTGAATGTTTTTAGGTCAACTATGAAGTCATCAGTTAACAAGAGCCACACAGGCAGGCTGGGGCATTTATCTCACTGTGAAAAATAAGCAGAATTGGTATATGCACTTAACTAATAAAAAGCACGTTACATTGTTCAAAATGCTTACAGGGATACTTAGGGTATTCTATTTACATGTTGGAAACAAATTAAATTTGACCAAGGTGACATAAATAGTTCTAGGACTATCTGGTTCTCATGAAAAGTTAGTTACTCACAACAAGAGAATCTATCAGAACCCTACCCTTTCCACCTTGTTCTTCTACAAAAACCAAATCGTCACTCCATTTAAACATGTAGTCAAGAACTGTATTCTGTTAAAATGTGAACCTATGCCAGGCCTGATGGTACAAGCCTGTAATCCCAGCTACTGGCAAGATCAAGGCAACAGGATTCCTAAGTCAGCCTGGACAATTTAGAGAGCTCTTGTTTCAAATCAAAAGTGAAAAACATCCTAGGGATGGTAGCTTAGTGTTAGAACACTTACCTAGCACATAGTAGACATTGACTTCAATCCCCACTCCCAGAAAAAAAGACAAGAATGCCCAATTTAAAAAAAAAAAAAGCCGACTAAAGAAGCTTAGTTTTGTTCCATGGTGATGGTGTAACTCCCATGGTCACGAGTCTTATGGAATTTCCCACTGTTTAAGGTTTCCTCTTTCTGGTTTACTCACAGAAATTGGGAGTAATTAGTAGGATTCCTTTAGAATTCCTCAGAACTAAATTTGCTCATAAGCTGTCCAAAATCTCTGTGCAAACTTCTCTAAAGGAAATGAAATGTTCAGATTTTTTTCAGCAATAATCTTAGCCTGTACTCGAATATGAGACTATTCTGGACACACACACACACACACACACACACACAGAGAGAGAGAGAGAGAGAGAGAGAGAGAGGGGGGGGGGATTCTACAGTAGGGAGGTGTGGAAAGTCTGTTCACAAGTTACACAGCACATGGTATTCAATTGTATTTCCAACCTATGGGAAATCTTGAGCTTCTTAAATTCATGATCCCTTGTTTTAAACCTCTGATTTCTTAACATCAGTTTCATTTCACTTTCTTAAGGTCTTCTTTGCCTAAAGCGGACAACTGATCTACGGAATATAATAAATGAAGGCCATAAAACGCAGCTCAATATTTTAGTCATAAAACTTGAAAGAGAAGAAAGTTATTAACTCAACTTATTCATTATTTCAAATTCAAGAAGGGTTTGCAGAAGAACATAAAATCACTAATGGCAGTGTCTTTATAATATTACATTTCCAAGGTGAACATTGCCTCTGGATTCTTGAATATACAAGTATAGTGCTTTTGAGCAGCTAACATGGGAAACATGCAGGGCCTATAAATTAAATTTACATAGCACTGCCTTTGGGTAGAGTTTATAACATATGAGCTATTTACACTAGTCTTGGAAGATCTATTGTTAGTTCTATTTTATTTTGTTTCTTTAGTATTTTAAAGAACAACCCTTCATAATTATATATCCATAGACAATATATTTCATAGCATATGGATATAATTTAGAAATTACAAATACTGAGGAATTTCCCCCATTTAGTATTTTGTTTCTAAGTCAGGAAAAAGACAAACAGAACCTTACATCCATTTGAGAACATTAGATGTTCTCTACCTTAAATGAATGGTATTCAGATATGTTTATGTTCCCAAGAGGGGAGGTTAAGAAAAATAAATTTGAGAGAAGTAGGTGATGCATAATTTGGAATAATCTAATTATCATTAGTAATGTAGTCTGAATAATCTCCATTGCATGAAAACTTTTATTGAAATATCTTTCCTACAAATATAACTCAATACGTTTTAACTTGTTGGAGAAACAAACACCACCCAAAAGGAGTGCTGAGTATTCAACTTTAAAATGGTGAGTCAGGATATGGGCTGTTGTTAGCATGCTTGTCTAGCATATGCAGACCTGGGGGCTCCACTTTCAGCATTTATGTTTCCTAGTTTAGATGGAAACTTGAAATCTGAGAGGAAAGTCTACTTCAGATTGATCTGGACAGGTTTGTGGAGGATTTTCTTTATTGCTAATTGATACAGGACAGCACAGCTTATAGGAAGTATGACATCCCTACAGAGATTGTCCTGTGTAAGACAACTAGCTAAGCATGAAGCAGTGGGCAAGGCAGCAAGCAGTGCCCCTTTATGGTTTTTGCTTTAAGTTCTTACCATTACTTCCCTCAGTGATGGCCTATGACCTGGACATATAAGCCCTTTCTTCCCCAGAGTTGCTTTTGGCTGGGGTGCTTTATCACAGCAAGATAAAGGATACTAGAACAGTAACTAAATAACTGGTAGCTCAATGAACAAAATGCAACATGACTTTGAAGTGTCAATAACTCACGGTTTGAACTGTGTCATGTAACAGTTACAGAAATAACTCTCCTCTCTTTCTTCCCAGAACTTTCACCCTGTGTCTTGTTGCTTTTTTTGCGGTGTCACCCATTTGTTGACACCTAATTAGTACATTCACCTCTTTTCTTGTCACCTTTAAGGCCTGTTCTAGGAATAAGGGCATTCTGTCATTTTGAGGGTTCTGTGAGAAATAGGCGGAAACTCCTTTTTCTCAAGGTTTTGTTAATGACCTGGAAGTAATTGTCAGTACATTAATGAAGCAAGAAGGTAAGCACGGGACTGGGGGCATAACTGAGTGGTTTATCCCGCTCAGCATGTCTTGGTGCCTTTCTTGGGCTTGTTTTCTGAATGGCTATCTTTGTAATTTTCAACTATGTGAGGAGTTAAAAGAGGGAAAAGGAGTAAATGGGTAATCAGCTCTCGCAAGTCAAGTCCTTTTCAGTAGCCACCTGGATTGGTAAGATTGCTCAGTGGGTAAAGCACTTGTCATTTAGGCACTAGGTCCTGAGTTCTGATGTCCAGAACTTAGAGCCACTAGGATCAGTGGCACGCATCTATAATTTCTGCACGCCTCCATTGAGTTGGGATGTGGAGACAGGAAGTTCTCCAGCTCATAGGCTTACCCTGGCTTAGGCAGGTACAAAGAGGAGAGCCTGCTTCAACAATGGTGAAAGGGGAGGGCCTCCACTTGAGGTTGTCCCCTGACCTCCTCATGTATGCTACGGAACCCACATGCATCTATCCAACCCCACCCCACCCCACACAAAGGACACTGTGGAACATCAAAAGCTAAACTCTACTACTATGACTAAGAACAGCTAGGAAATAGAC